TTTGTTTCAAACCTGTTATCTGATCTTGCACTTAAGGAGCAATGAAACATGCTTCAGAAAAGGAAGAGCATTTTCTAATATATTCTGAATTTATTACGATAAAATTGTCATATCTGGTAGGATTAGAGCCCAATCCCAGTGAGACAATTAAACAGTTTATTAATTGATCAGGAGACTCAGATAAGAAGCAACAGCTATATCTTATGACAAACAGGGGTCATGCCTATAATACACTGGCACAATATATTTGTGACATTTACTGAAGAGGCAATTTTTAATTTTCCAAGGTTTTTGCTGTTATTATTGTTGTTTTCCTATTTACTCCTCACCTTGTTTCCCTGATTGTTAGTATATTACAATATGGTGGGACATTGCAAATTTTAGTTTCCTAAGGTTTTTTGTTATTGTCTTTATTTTAGTTTTCTAATGTATTATCTTAATGGGTTTAAAAACAACATCATTTAAATCATTTTCACCTGTGAAATCACAATAGCTACTTTTGTGGCTATTTCTACCCTATCCAGACCCAGCCTCCATGGCTTTATGCCGGACACTCATTTCCTTCCCACACAGTTTCTCTACCCTCAGGATAACTCAGGGTTTGCCAGGCCATTGTTGGTTCTGTCCAAGGGTGTGTAGTCCAAGACTGCGTCCTTCCTTTTCCCCTGGAATAATGAACATTACCCCATAAGCGAAGGGGGATATGTTCAGATGTCCCCCTCTAATATTTCAGTTGGGATGGGAAAGCTAAGTAGAGCTGGCCTTTCAAATCCTGATGGTCTAGGAGAGGGTTTCAAACTATGTAAGATAGAAAATGATAACGTATGTAGAGTGACAGGCTTCAATTTTATCATAGAAAGGGGGGATCTGAGCAGTGGGATCCGGCCAACATCAGCCTTGGGCAGCTGTTTTCATTGGGGAAGACTCCTCATTAAAAGAGGAAACAGCAGCTGTGTGACTGCCTCAGGCTGAAGAGAGTCCTGGAGGGTTAGATGTCTTGTTCTCTCCTACTGGATTTCTAACATAATAATAAACAGATATTTTTTTCTATCAGTTCTCATTTGGCTAGACATGGACGAGGTAAGTTTTCATGAAAGGCACAACTGTGTAATGGATTTCATGGGTAAAACAGCTATCATAAAAGCAGTAGGCTAAGACTTTTAAAGGGGTTTGGCAACAAGCATAAGGCTTTGGTTTGCAATTATTTATTTGGGAGAGATGAGAATGTTCGCAGGTTTGGATTTTGCTAAAAGCCTTCTAAATTGTAAAAGAATCACTTTTAAACTTTCACTAACTGGCCTCTAGCAAATACCTTTACTAGTTTTTGAGTTGCCTCTATAGCAGTGCTATGTTTTCCCACCATTGTACTTTACAGCACAATTTACAATATGTCCCCCCAAAAGAGCATTTCCTTTCTCAATTGTCACAAAGCTACTGAGGAGAAGCTTATTTTTAACTTGGAGATATGTTTTGTTTTAATAATTTTAACCTAAGAATAGTTGTCTTATAGGCTTCATAAGGGCCTTATGCTATGTTATATCACAATTGTCAAATTTTTATTAATAAATTCAAGTTTTACTTTTAATACACCAAAGATGACTCTGCAATAATGAAATGAACCTATTATTTATTTAATACTGAGCATGAAGAAAAAAGTCAATCCTAGAAATATGATGTATAGTGATGCCAAGGGAGACAATTAGAAACATTGCTACAATGTAGATCACATTTAGGGCTCTCTCCAATTCTGTTTTTTTTTTCCTATTTCTAATGGAAATAATATATTGAATATATTAAATATTATATCATTTTTAGCTCTGTCAACTAACTAGCTGGTATATATCAAACAGTGAGCAAAGAAAAATTGAAAATTAGTAAAAAATGTGAATTAATAAGTATAAAGGAATGGAGTCACTTATTCATTTGTTGATGCCTGGCACATAGTAGATGATTTTTAAATAAATAGTGAATGAATGAATGAATAGCAGATATGATTGAATAACTTCTATGTGGTTGATATTATGATAGCTGCTGAATGCAACTGTGAAAACACTGGGTACAAAGAGTGTTATTTTTACTATAGACTTTCTTTGGTTGGGGAATACCATAGCGACATAAATGTAGCACACACCCAGAGCAAGGCATATATTGGTGCTTGGCTTCTAGGGCCCATGAAAGAGTTCAATCTGGAGGCCTGTGAAGGGGTTCTATAAGCATGTAAAAGTCTGGGCCCGAAGTGTGTCTACTCTAGCCTAAGAAGGAACTCCATGCCCACCCAGGCTGAATCTGCTGTCTCACCCATCTCTGGATCTCCTGAAAACAGCTTACCTAATCACCCTGTCAGATAGTTTTAATATTTGTTCCAGATTCTCTGAAATTTGTGACCCTTTTTCCTTTGGTAAATATTAAATTTTTTTTATATACTGGGAGAAGGGAAGGACTTCAGACTCTTGAGGATACATATTTTGTTTGTTTCTTTTCCACACGTTTGAAAGATAATACATTGGGTTTTTTAAAGTTCTATATTGTCCTTGTAGGTTCTCCCAACTAGTGCCCCCCTTGAAGGAGGGACGACGCTGACCATATGTGGCTGGGACTTTGGATTCAGGAGGAATAATAAATCTGACTTAAAGAAAACCAAAGTTTTCCTTGGGAACGAGAGTTGCACCTTGACCTTAAGCGAGAGCACGACAAATACGTAAGGATCTTAGGATGTTTTGCCAGGCTGTGGTTGGAAAACACGTTTTGTTTTTGAATGACTACTTGTAAAATTTGCCCTGAAAGTCCATCTCTTGAATTAGAAAGGGTCTTGGTCCATTACTCTCCTTGTGCATTTGTTTTCTTTTGTTTTTAACCCTACTTACTCACCAGAATTAAGGAGGGGGAAAGGTGGCATTACTTAGGTGAAGAAAAGAATTCAGCATATGGAAGTTTTTCAATCATTCTTGTAACAACTCTTGGGAAATTGTCTGGCTAGATTTGAAAGAGCAGCACTGGTTGGGGTGGTTCCACCTTTAAGTGTTCCAATAAAGGAAATCTCCAACAGCTTTTTCTATAAAAATCAGAAAAGCTCAATATAGACCCTCTCTTCTAAATTCACTTTCTAAACCTCAGAAATGTAGAGAAGCAGTTGAATCATATTTTTTAAACATTTTTATTGAGTTATAGTCATTTTACAATTTATAGTCAAATTCCAGTATAGAGCACAATTTTTCAGTTATATTTGAACATACATATATTCATTGTCACATTGTTTTTTCTCTGTGAGCTACCACAAGATCTTGTATATATTTCCCTGTGCTATACAGTATAATCTTGCTTATCTATTCTGCATATGCCTGTCAGTATCTACAGATTTTGAACTCCTAGTCCCTTCCCACCCTCCTCCCCCTTGGCAACCACAAGTTTGTATTCTATGTCTATGAGTCTGTTTCTGTTTTGTATTTATGTTCTTTTTTTTTTTTTTTTTTTAGATTCCACATATGAGCAACCTCATATGGTATTTTTCTTTCCCTTTCTGGCTTACTTCACTTAGAATGACATTCTCGTGAATCACATTTTTGAGACTCCTTGTTTTTGAGAGTTTAAATTTATATTTAGCTGATATTTATTGGCACTGTAACGTAAGGAGTGTAGCTCATTTAGCCATTCCCGATTCCCGGGAGATAACAATGTTTTTCCTATTTTACAGAGATAGTAACTGAAGTTCAGAAAGGTGGAGTGTAGATTAGCAGAGGTAATCCAGAGAGTAAGAGCCGAACAGGCCTTCAGACTCAGCTCTACTGATTTAAGACCTATGCCTGTTCTACTATATTCTGCATGTACTTTCTGTATGATCTGAATTCCATAATGAACAGAGAATCCACAAATTTGCCATTATCATATAGAAACAACAATTGAACATTCAGAGTTTTATGATTGAACCTATTCTATCAAGTGGTTATTTTATACCTAGTTGAATTCCTTTCAGGGTTATATAAAGTTCTAAATCTACTCATTTTACTGAGATCAAAATGTCAGTTAATCTCATACTTCTTTAGCTTAATGGCAAAACAGATTCATTCTAGAGATCACCCTTTTAAGTTCTTGCTCATTGCATTATAAATTAGAGCCTATAAAAGTAAAACACAATTCATTTTCTTCTTTAAAAAGATATTTAAAGGTATATTAAAGGAGGGTATAGCTCAAGTGATAGAGCACATGCTTAGCATGCACGAAGTCCTGCATTCAATCCCCAGTACCTCTCCAAAAATAAATAAACCTAATTACCTCCCCCTACATCCTGCCCCCCAAAAAAGAAAAGATATTTAATAAAACAAATTATATTTATACTTTTAAGGATTATAATAAGATTATTAATTCAAAAATAATTCTATGGAAAGCCTATCACAATGTTATTATTTTTAAGTAATTTCAATATACATGTGTAACCACAAAAATGCACTTTTTCACATACTTTAAAGAAGAGATTTTGCTTATTTATAATTAGTCCATTGTTTCATACGCTGTTGAAATACCATTTCTTTATCTTAAGTATGCCAAACATTATGCCTACAATTATATAGGATTAGACTTAGATTATTATGAACTTGAATCAGTGAGGTCTGCATCAATGAGTTTTAACATTTCCTAATTTGTCTGTATAAATAATGCAAACAGTCAATATACAATTTACTATAAAAGTACAGAAATAAAATTACACAGTTTTAGATACTAATGCTTACCTTGTAATTCTGCTTGCTATTCAGAGTAGTCAGCTCACTATGTAGAGATAATGGCCCTTCATATAAAATAGCCCAAGCAGAAAATGCCTTTGGATTTGTAGCATATTAAATTTTGTTTTTTCAGGTTGAAATGCACAGTTGGTCCTGCAATGAATGAGCATTTCAATGTGTCCATAATTATTTCAAACAATCGAGGGACAGCACAATATAGTACCTTTTCCTATGTGGTAAGTATAGACATTACTTTTCTCATGAGCTAGGATATTTAATTATTACTTAATCTACTTAGAGTTATAAAATTAACAAGTTAGTTTGTTTTGTTTTTATCTCTTGTTCAGGATCCTATAATAACAAGTATTTCTCCAAGTTACGGTCCTAAAACTGGTGGCACTTTACTTACTTTAACTGGAAAGCACCTAAACAGTGGGAATTCTAGACACATTTCAATTGGTGGAAAAACATGTACTTTGAAAAGGTATTGTAAATTTATTTATTGTTGTATCAGTCAAGTCAGATTAATATCTGTACCTAGCAAATCAGGAAAAAGATTATTCTTTTGTGGGGAGAAATCAAGATGTTTGTTATTATTCTCCTGCTTACAATACTTCCCCCTTTCCAAATCCATCTATCCCTTTTGCTGATTTTTTATGCCTTTCCCTTATTGTTTACTAATTCCACTTTTAAGTTTTGTCTTTCCATTCACCTTCTTTGTTATACTTAGGATCTCAGCTATGCTATGAGCTGTGAGATTCTGGTAATTGACAATAAATTAAAACAAACATTTCCATCAAGATTTACAATTAAACCAAATCACTTTGGGGAGGTAAGAAACATGAAGGATATTGGGTTAGGAGGGAAATTATGTTTCTGCTTCTTAGAGTTGGGAGAGCTCAGTTTAACCAAGTATCAAAAGAATACTTTAAAAATTGCTTAAAATCCCAAATACTTTGAAGTCAAGGATGGCTTGTCCACAACAAAGCTAAGTTTAGGATCCAGTCAAATGTAAACAATCTACATTAGAAAGAGTTTTTTTCTAGACCACATCAGGAAATTCCCATTTAGGAGCCATTGAGTGATATCCTTTTGATTTACGGATATAATTCTAAAATATGTGTATCTCTAAGAGCTAAGGTACATTTTCTTAATTTTTTTTGTTCAGTGTGTCAGATAGTATTCTCGAATGTTATACCCCAGCCCAAACCACTCCAACTGAGTTTCCTGTTAAATTGAAAATTGACTTAGCCAACCGAGAGATAAACAGCTTCAGTTATCGGGAAGACCCCGTTGTCTATGAAATACATCCCACCAAATCTTTCATTAGGTAAGTAAAAGCTTCTGATGGATATAAGACGATAATGAACATGAGGATGATTGGCTGTTGAATACTCAAGAGAAAGACAGTTTTATCTCTGGCTTTGATGCAGTTGCATTTTTTCTTTTGAAGGCTGCTTGTCCAATTTAGGAGTGAAAACTACATTCAGGTTCTGAGTACGATTTGACTTTATCAGTGCTAGTTTATGCCAAGAAATATTTTATCCTATTATATTATGTTTTAAATAGATTTCAGTAAAACAGTTTAACTGGGCGCTGTAGTATTTATGTACTTATATTATGTACATTTCAATTCTATACTGACCTTAGTGCCCAAAGGTGAAATCACCTTTTTCTCTCCATTCTTCTCTTTACCCTGCCTACTTTCCACACAGCTTCTCCCTGTACCAGACTCCCACTGAGTTAGTATCTCATTGGACCCAGTTCAGTCTGCCTTTTTTCTGTTAATTCTATCAGTCTAGCAACAATAGTTAATAAAGTTCATTTTTCTTTGTATTTTTTTTCAGACAGGGAAAAAATAGTTATTTTGCATATTTGGTGAATAAAAAGAGAAATGCATTTCTTCAGCTTATGAAATATGAATTTTAAAAAATATTTTTAAGTTAAGTAAGTTGTTTCTAAAGAAAAGTTATCGCTGAACTTCCATTTGACTGACTGTAGCTGTAACTTGCAATCACTACATGTGATTTAATGTAATTTCTCCCCTAAAATACTTGATAAAGAAAGAACCTCTCAACATTGCTATTTTTTCTTTTATTTTTGCCAGTGGTGGGAGCACAATAACAGGTGTTGGAAAATACCTGAATTCAGTTAGTGTCCTGAGGATGGTAATAAATGTTCATGAAGCAGGAAGGAACTTTACCGTGGTAAGTACTTTGAGTGATAGTTGCACTTGGAGTTCTGTATCTCTGCCTCTACCTCCAGCTTTCGTGGTACTGGAGACATTTCAGTTTTGCCTTTAATGTTTGCTAGTTATCTTCCTTGCAGGGTAAGTCAAATACTACTTTTTGTTCGAGAACTAATATTATCTAGTCTCAGGCTAACATGATAAAACAAAACGCTCACACGCACTATCTTCTCATTGTGTCCTCACAAGGAGGAGAAAGAAAAAGGAAGCAAGCTCTCTTGTGTCTCTTCTTATAAGGACACTAGTCCCATCATGAGAACCTCACTCTCATGACCTAATTATCTCCCAAAGATCCCATCTTCAAACACCATCACATTGGGCATTAGGGTTCCAACATACGAAATCAGGGAGAACACATTCAGTCCATCGCCTTTCGCTATCCTCTCTTTTTAATGCACCACAGACTATCAACCCTTTTGCTCTAATAAAATGTCTAATAAGAGCCTCTAATCTTGCTGCAGCACCCTTGTCTTCCTAAGTGGCAGGCACACAATGTTTTCCTATGCACCCCCTCTTCTTACCATTCTTCTTGTCCCTTTGTTAGCATGTTGTCTAGTAATGAGAAAGAAGAATACTTATGTCCTAGAGTGTGTATGTTGTTTGGTATTTCTCTACCTTTTTTTCTTTCATTTGCAAGGTCAGTCAAAATTTAACCGAATGCCTCCTTGAAAGTGATTGACCTATTTTGTACTCTAACAATTTATATAGATCACATTAAAATGGTAGTTTTACTTTAGACCTCAGGAATTTTGGAGTTATTTACACAGATTTCATATATTTTGTTTTTCTTTAATATGAAATACCCATAATCTAGTGGGATTTGTACACACAACTTAGAATGGAAGTTCTAAGTGCCTCTTCTCAAGCCAGGTCTTGATTGGGAAGGTAATAGATTGAATTATAGCACTTCCTTTTAGATTCCCATCCAATATTTCTTGAAGGCTAAGGCTGCAGTGTGCTTTAATTACAAAAACCAATTTGGAGCTAAAAATGTCAAGCCAAATCACCAAACAATAAGGTCATCTCAAATAAGATTTTTCTTGACCTTCTCAACCAGCCACATTGCATCACCTCTAAAGAGTATTATTAGATTTTTATGATACTCCTGAGAGATTGTACTCCAGAGAGCCACTGTATGAAGTAGAGAGCTTTGAAACCAATCCCCACACACAGCCGCAAACAAAGTTAGAATACCACTGCTATTAATTTAAAGGACATCAGTTCTCCACAAGCAGGCATAACAATTTTTCATTAACCTATTAGAATAACAATAGCCCTCGTTGGTGTTGGCTTGTGACTTTTTAAAGTAGAACTCTGAGAAATTATAGTTTATGTAATTCACACCAAGCTTGTGTTACTAAAACAATGGCTAAGTTTTCTTCCTTCTCCCTCACCAGCATTATGAGGATACATGGCTTTATTCATTCATTTGTAATCAAATTGTTATTAAAAACCTCCTAGTTGTGAGACATGAGTCCAATATGCCAAGAAAGATTCAAACAATGGTAGAAGATTAAAATCATGTCCATTTATACACAGAAATGTAAACTTCTATAATTTTAGCTGCAAACATATTAGTACAGTAAAACTATTTGACCTGGGTAAGAGTGAAAAATTCAGTGGGTCTGTTTGACTATTGTTTGTGAAAATTACCTCATAAAGAGATGTGTGTTCCTTCCAGGTTCTCTGCCTTTTATAGAATTTGAAGTTGATCATGATTGAATTGAATCATTATTTAAAAGATAAAAACTCTTGGTCAGGTCTGATTTAGAAATATCGATCCAGCCACAATAATTTTTAAATCCAACAAACTCAAATCTTTTAAAATAAAAATACTAATCATCTTCTTAAACAAAATGCATATTAATTTGTTAATACGCATTATGTCCTAGAAGCCAGCAATTTATTGTATAGTTTTCAAATTTCTTGTTACGTAGAGAATTATTGTAATGGCAATAAAATTGTTCATTTCCATTTTTCAAGATGATAGGAATAAATAGCTTTTAGCATTATAATATAAATTTGATACAAAACTAAATAAATTTTATTCATATTATATCTATGTATCAGTTTTCTTTACCTGATTATAGTGCACATTTTTAAATGTAGGATAATTTTTTAAATTATATATTTAAAAATATCAAATATCCAGTTTTGTTTGTGGCTTTTTATGTATGTCTTGAATCCTTTTTCTGTTGTGGACGTAAGTAATTGTTTTATCTCCAATTCTGCTTGTCAAAGGAGAGGAAATCAAAGGGATGTTGTTGCTTGTTTGTCTTTTCCTTGAGGGGAAAAAATGCAACCGTTTAACCTTAAATGTGCCACTTTGTGTTGCTGGTTTAGTCTAAGCACAATCAAGAGGAAACCACATTTTCCAAGCTTCTATAAATCAGAATTACAAAGGGGAAGATTTGAAATGACAGATCAAAGGCCATAAAATAATAATAGCAAAGGCTTTGTAAAATAGAGAGCATAGGAAAAGATTTACTAATATAGAATACAGAGTGAGCAAGAAACCACACTGTGGGAGTTAGACGATTTTTGGAGCCAGTGGCCTTGGATTTATTTTCCTACTTTGCCACTCAGAGCTGTGTGACCTGGTCTGATGACATCAGCTCGAAAATCTCAGATTCTTCATCTCTAATATGTGTGTAATCATAGCATCTACCTCATAGGATTATTGTGAGAATTAAATGAGACCAACCTTGTAAAGTATTTTGCACAAACCTGGCACTCAGTAATTGATAGCTTAAAACAGACTAATAAGATGACTTAACTATGTAGTTAATTATAATGTGAAGCGTATGGTGCTTGGCAGTGGACAAAGCACTTTACCATGCAGTATTCCACCTTGTGAATAGCATTTTAATCTTAATTCCTAAATAAAGAAACTGAGTGCCCAAGTAAGGTCTTTGCCCTGATTCTCACAGGTTAGTTTAAAGCTAGGATGTGAATAAGGACGTCTAACTACACAAAATCTAGCACCCACCCTTCCATAGCAATTTCATAAATAGTCACCCTGTAGGTGACTGTCCTGTCTTCTTAAGGAAAATAAAGTGATGAAGGGAGAGACAGCTTCAGATAGATCAGCATAGCTTATTCCTAGCAAGTGAAGCTCTGTAGCTCCTTCGAAGAGCTGCATTGTTTAGATAATCTTACATCTGTCATGTTTCCAGAAATTTGTTCTTCAACATTAGGAAATTAAATGGAGATTTCTTCAAAAATTATTTACTTTCAATTGATTGTCTGAATCAGTGAAATGTGAAAGTTGCTATGATGTTATCAAAGCACGGTGTTCTGTTCACAGTGCATAATTTTGTCTTACTACAGGCATGTCAGCATCGCTCTAATTCAGAGATAATCTGCTGTACAACTCCTTCACTACAACAGCTGAACCTACAACTCCCTGTGAAAACCAAAGCCTTTTTCATGTTAGATGGGATCCATTCCAAACACTTTGATCTCATTTATGTACATAATCCTGTGTTTAAGCCTTTTGAAAAACCAGTGATGATCTCAATAGGCAATGAAAATGTACTGGAAATTAAGGTAAGAAATGCTTAAAATGCTCTCTTAAATCATCAACTTGCACTTAATTGACTTCATAGCTATGTGAATAGAATTGTTGTACTTGGTCATTATCTTATACTACATCAGTAAATATCTAAGCTCTGAAAAACAAATCTTTTCGACATAAGACTAAAAGGTATGTATAATCATGGACTGCTTTTTAATGAAGTATTTAAAAACTCTTTCTTGTGTATATATTAAAAAGTAGTAAATGTGGGACACAAATCCATTAAATAAGCTGCCTGTGATGCATTATTCTGCCAGTGTTTTGTATTTCCCTGGATGCTCATTATAAGGCAAAAGGTAAGAGTCTTAAATGTAAACGCATCAATTGTAGTTCTGTACTTCCTTCCAATACTTGGAATTTTATATCTGGGTGTGTTCATCTCTAAGCTGTTTTATAAATGGAGCTGGATTTCCTCTACCTCAGGAATATATTAGCGTCTAAATATAATTTAATTGGACAATAATAGATCATCTTTTCTCACCCAACCTGTTGCAAAGACTGCTAAAGCCCAGAGAAGTTAACGTGATGAAATTGTGGCAGAACAAAGGCTAAAATTCAGCTCTTTTATGTTGCTTCAGTCATTTTTACTTCAAATAGTAATAAAAGAGGCAAAATGGTCAAAACTTTAATTATCTATAGCTCCAGTCACTAGAAACAGCAAAATATTTTTCCTTCAACGTGTTGTGTTAGACATGCAGAATTTTCTCCCGAAAGACAGCCTGCATGAAAATATGAACAAACATCAAGTAATAGGATAGTCCCTGTTTAGATGTAATATCAATTCCCATAGATCGTCTCCATCTAAGTAAGAATACATTTCTACTAAAAATTTTCTGCTTTTTCAAAACAAGATTTTATCTACAGCCAAACCCATGCACACGTTCACACACATACAAGTTTACTAACCTCGCAATTGTGTTTTGTACAATAATTAAGCAAGCCCAGCATGAAATTAAATGGAAGCCTGTTTCAATGAACAGCATGTTTACCATAGCAAAGTTCTTTCATCTGCTTCTTTAATTAGTTTTAGAAAAGGAGAAAGAGCTTTTATCGCTTCTTTTTTTTCAGTAAAACTAATCTAGTGTGACCTTTTACTTTCAACAATTACTGTGTTTGCCATTTGAAAGATTCCATTTGGTTTTTCTTGATGAAAACAATGGTTTATTTGCAAATATTTTTACACCCAGAGAAATCCCATTTTTTGTTCCTCTGTCTATGATCAAAGGATTAGATAAATGGTTCTTTATCCTTCCAAGCAGTCTTATATGAAGGAGAAAACTCCTTTTTCTGTAAATTAAATACCCATTTTTCAATGTCCTGTGAAACCGTTGGACCAAGAAAAACATGATTTGACACCATCCTGAGCCTTTCCATACTCCTCCCAACCTGGCCCAAGAGGTCTCTGGAAACAAACACAAGACACTTTCTTTTCTTGCCTGTACACAGAATGACTGTTTTCTCTAACAAGTGTAAGTGTACAGCACCTGTCATGTCACAGAGTGGCAATCTGGGGGAAAGGGAGCAGTTTAGGGGGGCTGTTTTGCTGTCATAATTTAATTGTCTCCGAATTCCACTTTACTTATGTGTAAGAAGAAATCTAAGGTGTAGGAGAATCTTTGCGTGACTGCAGTTTAACCCTTTACCAGTTTCTAAAGTTGATCACATTAAAACCTCTGCTTCTCAGAGCAGAAACAAAGGAATGTAAAGCAAAAGAAAAGAAAAGAGAAGTTCTCTGTCTCTTCTGGACAAGTAGTGGATTGCTTTTATTAAAAGAAAGGAGGTCATTTTATTTCATGTTGTGTTTGTTCAATTAGCGTTCAGAACATAAGTATGAAGTATGTTTGTGTTCCGTCAGTGAAAGCACTGTGGAAAGAATCATGTTTAGAGTGAGATTTGCTTGTTATTGCCAGGAAGAGTTCGTGCTCCTCAGGCAGCCCTGCATACAAGAATGCCTTGGCTAGAGAAAGGTTGTGATAGTTTCCAGCCTCGGTTGAGAATTGCCTCGGTCAGCAATTGGCCCAATGAATACACCATGGCCAAGAGGGTCAGCCAAGTTTGGATCAAAAATATGTAACTGAGACCAAGGATCAGTCACTCCTCAAGACAAATCAGAACCTTATCAATATGAGAGGTGGTTTATGATGAAGGCTTAGGCACCAGTGGTAGGCAGTGGTCATCAGAAGTAGACATCTCTTGGCGAATACACATTAGGACTCAGTGTTCATGTCAACAACAGCTCACATTTGTGTGGAATTTTAGTTAACACAGTACTTCAACATACGTTGTTTCACTTGAGACTCATGTGGACTTAGGAGGTTGTAAGGTCAGTGATGTTTATCCCCATTTATAGATGAGTAAATAGGGGTTTAGAAAGATTATGTAATGTATCTTGGGTCACCTAGGGAGCAAGCAGCGTAACAAGGCTCACACTCAAGTTTCTTTATGCCAAATTTGGTCTTCTTTCCACTAAATTACAGAGCTTTTCATATTAACTTTCATTTAACGTATACCAAAATACCTTTCATAATAGAGAAAATTTCTGTCATATGGTATGAAATTGTTTATACAATTCTTTGAGTAAAATAGCTCTAAACTCTCTCAAATAATCTAAAAATCAATTCTGTTTAAGGAAACCCTATATTTTCCCTAATTATCTTATTATATGCCTTTTAATGCATGAGCATGTTTTATGGAAACTAGAGAAGCACAGTATTTAATGCTGGAACAAGGGCTGCCTGACACTGCCCGGGGGGGTTCATCTTACTCTGGAGCATACTAATGTACATGGTAATGGAGAGACTTCAGAAGTCCAATTTGGAAAAGTTGGCCAAAACAAGAAAAATGGAGCAGGAAGATCAGCTTAAGCAAGGAACAGGGGCTCAGGCTATTGACACTGTGAGCACAAGAACAAAAGTTGGGAGCTCAGTTAGAGACCTGTGTCAGTGTCTGGGCACCAGAAGGATCTAGCAGGGAGAAGAGTTCTGAGCTAACTCAGCCTTCCTGCTGCCCAGAGCCAGCCAGAGTTTGTCTTCCTTCCACTTCTGACTAATGTACCTGCAATTATAGGCCCAAACCCGTTCACAACCACTGTTGAGGCCAGTTCTGTCTCTAGACAGGGTGGAAATAGAGGGCTCTTTTCTTAGAGGTCATTTGGCCCAATGTCAAGGCCTATTCTTATTGCTGGTGCTTGTAAATTAGTACAACTGACCCTTGAACAACACGGGTTGGAACTGCACGTCCACTTACATATGGATTTTTTTTCAATAAATACATACTAGAGTATTATATGACTCGTGGTTGGCTAAATCCATGAATGCAGAACCTCAGATAAAAAAGAGGGCCTACTAAAGTTGTGCGTGAATTTTCAATTGCATGGGGTTCAGTGCCCCTCACTCCCACATTATTCAGGGGTCAACTGTATTTCCCTGTGCTGCACACTTTAATATGCATTCTGTAGGGGAAACAAAAACATATTCCAGGGCATATAGACAGCACCTGTGGTTTCCCAGTACCCCAAATAGCCAATGAAGAAACTAGTTTAATTTTGGTTCACTCAGCTTTTCTCAGATGAACTTTTTTCTGGGAACTTTTTTCTCCAAATGTCTATTAACCTCCTATGACTTAGTTTGAAGCTTTCTGTTAAGATTCTTCGGCCCATTTCCTAAGCTGAGGGACTCATATCCTCTGGGTAAAGCGTAAGTGTCACCACATCACCACCACCACCACCTCACTGATAGTCTGCTGCTAGCCTCCTTGGACCATGGCCTGGCTGAGTCCTGCTGCCATCCCACCTCACTGTCTTAGCTGACTTTCCCAGACTCAACATTGTGGCCACCTGGTGGTATGAAAACTTGTGGGACCCCTCCTATTGTAATGCTGTTGTTCGTATCCTACCCCTTACACTTCCATTTGCTCTGTTCTATAACCAGCTTAGACATGGGTTCCCAGGCCTGAGTCTGGGTAGAAATATGCATCATAAGTAGCCAGAATTGCAAAGCAAAGAGACAAGGGACGTCCTGATATGACACATTGGGAGTCATAGTTTTTCACTTTAGAAATGTTTTCATTTTGACATTACATCAAGAGGAAGAAACACTTACTCATCTTTGTATTCTCAGAAACTAGCATTGTATTTAACACATAATAGTGGATGGTAAATAGATTTTGTATCAAATAGAATTGATTTGCTTCAGAACCAAGTCCATTCTTGAACCTTAGTTCTCAATGTGTAAAGCAGGAATTACAATAATGCCTACCTCAGGGAAGTGTCTTTACAAGATAAAACAAGATAATTATAACTCTCAATTGCTCTGTGTGTGTAAGGGATTGAAGACCAGAAAGCTCCTTCTATTTTGTTTTATTTTAAAACCTATATATTACCATTTTAATGACTGAAAAACTAAGCCAACTTTGTAAATATGTTCCACTATTTAATAATAGTTAATATTAAATAATAAAAAGTAAATAATAAAATTTCTAAACATATACCTTTTTTTCCTCAGCTTGATAAAGCTATGTTTATTTTAAATGACAAAAAGTATCCTATACCTTTTTTTTAACTCAAGTCCCTTTGTTATATAGAGTGGGCTTCCAGTATCACTTTTGTGATATCTCAGATTGTAGACTTTTAAAATATTCACTACCTCCTAGAAGAAAACATAGGCAAAACATCTTCTGGCATAAATCTTAGCAATGTTCTCCTAGGGAAGTCTATCCAGGCAATAGAAATAAAAGCAAAAATTAACAAATGGGACCTAATTAAACTAATAAGCTTTTGCATAGCGAAGTAAACCATAGGCAAAACAAAATGACAACTTACGGAATAGGAGAAAATATTTGCAAATGATGCAACTGACAAAGGTTTAATTTCTGGAATATAAACAGCTCATACAACTTTGTAAATAACAAAAAAACAAGCAACCCAATCCAAAAAATGGGCAGAAGACTGAAACAAGGAATTCTCCAGTGAAGACACAAATGGCCAATAGTCACATGAAAAAAATGCTCAATATCGATAATTACCAGAGAAATGCAAATCAAAACTAGAATGAGGTATCACCTCACACCAGTCAGAATGGCCATCATTCAAAAGTCCTCAAACAATTGGAGAGGGTGTGGAGAAAAGGGAACCTTCCTACACTGTTGGTGGGAATGAGGTTGGTGTAAGACATTATGGAAAACAGTTTGGAGATTTTTCAAAAAAATAAAAATAGACTTACCATATGATCCAGAAATACCACTCAAATGTGAAATCTAAAGAAAAAAGAGGACACTAATGAACTTATCTACAAAACAGAGACAGACTCACAGACATAGTAAACAATCTTATGGTTACCGGTAAAAGAGGTGGGGAAGGAGGGGAGAAGGGATAAATTGGGAGTTTGTGATTTGCAGGTATTAACTACTATATATAAAATATATAAAAAATATTTTTTTCTATATAGCACAGGGAACTATATTCAATGTCTTATAATAACCTATAATGAAAAAGAATATGAAAACAAATATATGTATGTATATATGTATGACTGAAACATTGTGCTGTACACCAGAAATTGACACATTGTAACATACTATACTTCAATTAAATAATGATAAAAATTTTAAAATAAAATAAAATAATCACTAAACACACAAAGCTAATAATTTCTTATATAAGTCACTAATTATCATGTATTTCTTAGTAGGCACAAATGAAAAGGGATTTCATTGTTCAGCTGTGTAATCTGTTTTTGTTTTAAAGACGCTTTTATGCATCATCCTAGGCAACCCTGAGCCTAAAAGTATTAGAAGTGTAAATTCAGTATGTTCATCCCTTCCCCCAGCCTTCATTATTATCTAAGCAAGCAAGACACATTTTAGTCATTCCCTCATAAATCAAGCCCTCCAGCTCTTTAATCTCTTTCCTTTGTCATTCCCTGAATTCCCTGCAATATGT